GCCCCCGGCACCCCTCGCGCAACAAGGTCCTGTCACGGGATCGCGAGAAGTACCCCTAATGCCTGGCCCAATAGACGATCGCCCGATTGCCCATCGCCGCCCTCGTCGAAACAAGCCCCGCATTTTGCCGGATGGAACTACGTATCAGAGGCCTAACAGCATTGAGTCCATGCTTTCAGCTGCCCAAGCTGAACATGACTTGCCTCAGAACGTGCGGGACGTAGCAAAGAGCCCGGATGCACTCAAGTGGGAGCGCGCAATGCGCAAAGAACTGGACTCTCTCGAGGAAAACTGTACTTGGGATTTGACCAGCCTTCCACGCGGTCGAAAGACTGTCAAATGCAGATGGGTGTTTAGCAGGAAGCGTGACGGTCGTTTCAAAGCACGACTTGTTGCCAAGGGATTCACTCAGGTTCATGGGTTTGACTATGATGAGACCTTCTCGCCAGTATTGCGCTACGAATCTCTGCGCATACTTATGGCTCTGGCTGCTCTCGAAGATTGGGAGATTCATGCCATGGATGTCAAAACGGCATTCCTAAACGGGGATCTGGAGGAAGAAATCTATATGGAACTTCCGGAATTACCCAAAGGTTTCTCATCATGGCCAAAAGAAAAGGTGGCACGCCTTCGTAAATCACTCTATGGGTTGAAACAGGCGTCTCGACAGTGGAATATCAAAATCCACAATGCCCTCCTCGAACTTGGTTTTGCTCGGACATACTCCGACGCCGGTGTCTACACATATCGCCAACAAATGGGAGATACGGTCATCATCTTGGTGCTGTATGTTGACGATATGCTCATTATGGGCAACAATCTGCCGGAGATAGCGCGTATCAAATCCTTGCTCGCGAATCGCTTCAAAATGACAGATCTCGGTCCTGCGAAGGATTTCCTTGGTCTGAACATAGTTCGTGATCGCAAAGCGCGTAAAATCTGGATCGATCAGGCTTCCTATATCGAAGGAGTTCTAGAACGATTCCGGATGTCTTCGTGTAAAGAAGCTCGTACTCCCCTGCCTTCCGGCATCGTGCTCGAGAAGCATGATGGAGAAGTTGATGAAGACCGTCGTACCCGATACCAGCAACTGATTGGCAGCCTTCTATACGCCATGCTTGGTACTCGCCCCGACATTGCCTATGCAGTCATCCGTCTATCAAAGTTCAACAGCAACCCGTCAGAACATCATTGGAACATGGCAAAATACATACTCCGGTACCTTCAGGGCACCAAAAACTACCAACTTTGCTATGATGGTTCCACTGGCGCAGGCCTTATCGGTTATTCCGATGCTGATTGGGCGGAGAACAAAGACGACAGGCATTCAACCACGGGATATTCCTTCTTCATCGCCGGTTGTGCAGTGACCTGGGTTTCTAGACGCCAACCCACGGTCGCTTTGTCCTCAACAGAGGCCGAATACATGGCTCTGAGCGATGCTACACGCCAGATTGCCTGGATCCGCACTTTGTTGACTGAGCTCGGATATGACTTGCCATCCACGCCTCTTTGTGTTGATAACCAAGGCGCTATCTTTATGGCAGTAAATCCAGTTCATGATAGGAGGACGAAGCACATCGACATCCGCTATCACTTCGTACGAGAATCCGTCGAAGCTGGCAATGTCCAACTTTACCATGTGCCGACTGATGCGATGATCTCCGACACGCTCACAAAGTCTCTGGCATGGGTGAAGTTCCAACAACATCGGCTGTCTTTGGGTCTTCGTGATCCGACTGTTTAGTCGAGTGGGAGTGTTGAAGCTTGTTTGTATTAGCGACTATCACAGTATGTAGACATGACATCATAAGTAGTATTCTTAGATTACTTTGGCTCGCTCCACAATGACCTCATACCTGACATCATTATTGCGTCATCCATTACTCATCTATGATATCATTACTCCACTATGACATCATGATATCTGCTCCAGACTGGTATATAAACCTAGTACTATACGCTCCATATCCTCAGCTCCTGTGTCTTACACTCGCTGAGGTATGCATTCTCCCTTACGATCTAATGACCCTTACTTATGACTTGTACCACAGACTCTGTGTCTTTAGGTACAGCAAATGATATAGCTCCTGTGTCTTACACTCGCTGAGACTCTGTGTCTTTAGGTGATCGCTACTGGTCGTATCTCCACTGCGCGGTATTGTCTGCGACAGGATTGGCCAACGGGTATGTCTTGGCATGTGAGGCCAACGTGGGCGCCCCAAGAAGCCGTATGGCTCTAGGCACGCCAGTCGTCTCCCACATGGTTCGGTTCACGGATCTAGCCGTATCGATTTTAGTGTGTTTGAGTATGGGCGCGACTCGCCGTGACACTTGGAAGTGTCACCGCGACGCGTCCACAATGTCCCGTGATCGAATGGATCCTGACATGTGACAAGTCGTCGTCGTGGCATGATCTGAGGAAACGTCCAACTCAAAACCGGGAGTTGCCGCGACAAGATGGTTTAAGTCTCGTAACGCCAAGCCCTGTCCAGTAGTAGTTCTATTATTGAGAACGTCGCGCATTGCTCAGCCCTTCAGCCCAAGTTCCCATCTGCAGAGAATGACCCTTTTCGAGAAGTCGACGCAACGACAGATCCCCTTTCTGGGGAATGGTCGCGGTCCAAGCGTTCGTCACTAATGGCCCTGAGCCTGGTGTAGACTCATAAGACCAATTCCACAGTAGTGGTCTGACTGCCTTGCTATCGTCGACACTATCCACAGTCGTCGACTGGGCAGTAGACCCATAAGTCCTACTGAGCGCAACACTGTCAACCGCGACACGATACACCGAGTGGTTCAAGAGTAAACTCTGTAAAAGCGCAAAAATACGCCCTTACAGAGCTGGTGCAGAGCGCGTCTGGTAGCCAGCCTATCACCGTCACACCAGATCTGTCGTACCGGCAGATTGTGGCAGGGTTTGCATCCCCCCCGGAAGTCCTAGGCTCGATCTCTCAGCTGGAGGTCGACCAGGACTCTGGTTCTCGCCCTGGCGGCGTAGTCGACGACGGTGCACTGCACCAGGTCGAAGTCCCTGGCGAAGATCAGTGGACCGAGGTCACACGTAGTACTGCCCGCACTCACCGTGAGCGTAGCCCTAGCCAACTCAGTAATAGCAAAGACACCTCGTCTGTGCCGCACACTTGGTCTCAGGCGGAGGGATCCATGAGTATCCCACAGCTGCGAACCTTGGCGGAGAGGTATAGCACCCTGCTCCGCAACGCTGAGGCGCGCACCGCAGCGGACGGCCACGCCAGTGGAAATTTTCACGGCGACACAGCCACCATGAGTCAGACCAACAGATCGGTCAATTCGGGCCCGAAACAAACGCCCGAATCTGCCAAGAGCAGTGAAACTGTGCCTCAGGCAGATAGCCAGGCACACGCCGGCCCCTCTAAGATACGGGGGAAGGCGATTGACCCCAGGAACTGGGGGCAACTGGACTTCGGAGAAGAATTCTCCGAGGACGAAATCGAAGCGCAGCGCGAAGCGCTTGAGACTCACAACGCGCGGCACCGTGAGGTCAAGAGGGAGCAAGTTCCTACTGAAATGAAAAAATTCAGTCCTCGGTTTGGCGCTAATCCCATGCAGAACGCACCTTCGATCCTAACTGACAACGAATCGGAGCCCGAAACAGAGGGCGACGTAGCGTCTGGCCAGACCACGGATGAAAAGATCCGCCGATTGGAAGAAGAGATCCAATCGCTTCGTCAGTTAGAAGCGTCAACCAAGAGGTCGACGAGGACGCCTATCACCGACGCCCAAGCACTGGCTCGAGCGCACATCGAGACCCAGATACGAGCACGATCTGCCTCAAGACCGAAATCCGGGCCTAGAGGGCGTGATCAGCAGCTGGTAGACATACTGCCTGCGGGCGGATACATGGAAAGGGTCATAAGAGAGGCCGGGGGAGCATCACCCCCTCCACCCAGCTCGTCCAGCAGCTCTCACAGTGGCTCAGGAAGCCACAGACGCAGCAGCGCACCAGTGGGACTGCCACCGTCAGCGCCTGTCGCCGCTTCCCATGGGTTGCTCATGGATGGGCCTGGGCGGGTAATGATCCGCCCAATTCAACCCGTCGCCTACGACGGAAGCGATGACGCAGCCAAATTCCTGCAATTTGTCCGTCAAGGGACAAACTGGCTGCGAATGGGAAACTTACCCGAGGATCAGCACATCTTCATGCTAAGTTATTGCCTCACGGGCAAAGCACTCGATTTCTATAACAGAAAAGTGGTGCAAAAAGAGTCCGAGTGGACTCTGAGCGACTTCTTCGCAGGGATGCTCAAATATTGCTTCCCGTCGGACTATCGCATGAAATTGCGGGACAGGCTAGGGCGTTGCTACCAGAACAAACAATCAGTATCGGACTACTCCTCGGAGTTCGAAGAGTTGTACTTCATGATCGGACTTGCTGATGACCAGGAGAAGGTCGTACGCCTCTGGCATGGGTTTGCATCCGAAATACAGGCAGAGCTTTACCGTCAAGAGCTAAATCCCGAGTCGTCAACGTGGGAAGAGGTGATAGACGGCGCCGAGAAAGCTGAAGTCCTCCTGGGCAAGAAGGACAAGCCCCGGGACACATCTTCGGCTGCGTCAAGTGGTCAGGCCGGTAGGAAGTCCCGAGGGAAAGGGAAGTTCTCGAAGCGCTCCAAGTCGCCGGACGCGGCTATTCAGACATCGGCGGCGGCTGTATCGGAAGAAAAGGGAAAAGGTTCAAAGAATAAAAAGGACCGAAACCGCGAACCAAATGACCGCCCCTGGGAGCGCAAACTGACAGCGCAGAAGCGCGAGGAGCTCATGGCGGCGAATAAATGCCTGAACTGCGAAGCGGAGGGGCACTTCGCAAGAAACTGCCCCAAGCTGCAGACCGTCCCGTCTAAGCAGAAGGGGAAACCCCCAGGCCTAGCGGCCCATGGGGTGACCTTTGAAACATCCTCGGCACTGTTCGAGAGCACGGAGCAATTGCTCGAGACATTTGCAATCGACTTAGGAGGCGATCGAGAGGGCGGGAGTACCAGCCAGTTCCAAGATGAAGACAAAAATGGACTTAGCGAAGTACTTGAGTACCTGGACAGCAACCTGTTGCACGACTCGCCCCCATTGCCCCTAGATGAGATGCACACGCCTATTGGCAACATCCGCGCCCGCTTCATACGAATGGCCCTCACCAACGCCGCCCCCTACCCCGGTGACAAAGACCTTATCCAGACTGATCCAGGGCCACGATTTGTGGTCACAAAGCAGCAGAACGGCGACTTCCTGGTCCTGGACCGGGCTGATGCGTACGCCGCATACGACCTGGAATCTCGATGGGTCAACGATGAATCATTTCGGATTGGGCTGTGGTACGCAAGATTCCGCCAGGTTGTTGCTTGTCGACCTCTGGATGAACTGGAGACCAACGAAGCATGGGACACGGAAGTCGGCGACGTGGTGGCCACAATGGCCGCAGTTCTGCTGTGGTCATACGATCAAGAGGTGGGCAATGACGCTCACCTCGAGCTCTTTGATGTTGCCCCCTCCACGCTGGACCCATCCCGCTACACTGTCACCCTCCACCATCTGGAGCGCTCGTGTGAACTGCCGGTCGCTTGTCTCGACGACGAGACCTTTGACCTGCGCCAGTGGTATCGCCGATCCTTTGGCCCTCAGGCCAAAGATGACATCGTGAGGGACGAGGTAGGACGACCTGAAACGCCAGAAGAGGATCGAGACCTGGTTCACCGGATGGGCCGACTGAAAATTGGGGATGAGGAAAATAGTCAAGGAGGAGTACCACCTGACTGCGTGGGAGCGTTCGAAGAACGCATGGCACTCATTACGGCTTGCGGCGTCAACGCGGCTGTTACCACAGACAAAAAACCCCCACCACGCTCCATAGGCGACCTGCACGCTGCGGGGGCTTGCGCTCTTCTCCACTTCCTTCAGCCATATACGGGGGATGACCGCGCTCCTGGAATCAAAGACAATCGCCCGGCAGAGCGTTTCCGTGTATGGCGCGCCGGGGAGGACAGCTACGCCGTCCAAGACAGCTGGTTTTCTGAGGTGTTCAGCCTCCCAGCCCAATACCTCGCAACCGAAACGTTCCGGATTGGCGAGTGGTACGACCATCAGCTCGCGTCTCGGCTCGGAATGGATGCGCGGCAGACGTCCAGTGACCTACACGAAGTGGAGGTCGAAGACCTCACCCAGGCTGGACTAGACGTCTACCTGCGGAACCTCGAGCGCATCGTGGACACCGATCTGTCCCAGTTAAGGGTGCGAGTGCACACAAGTCAGGAGCACGGCATTCGTCAAAAAAGGTACGTGCTTACGCACGAAACAGCTCATGAGAGCCGTTATATCCGTACCATACCGGCTGAATACCTGGCCAGGACCGAGTTCGACTTCTTGGGCTGGGTCCGGAGTAGCCTTCTCCTGGATCGGCACGGACAACCCCGTTACAAGGACGCCTGGGTGCAGAGAGCACGAGACGACAACGGGCTCGATTCGTACGCGCACTTCTACGCACTGGATCACCCGGGAATGACCAGCCGGGAAGCACGCCTGCTGCTTCTCCTGCGGAACGGGGAGGACCTACGCCGGCTGGCGTGCAGCGGGCTCTTCTCGACTGACTTACTTGAGCTGACCCGGGACTTCGACGCGGCGCTATCGGACCTTGAATACGCTCAGCTAAGGGCGCCAACAGAGGGCGAGTTGTTTGTGGGAGGGGCACAACTGCCTGCGGACCAGGTGAGGGGTATCTCCAGATCCGCCTCGACCCCACGCTTACCAGACAAGGTCGTGGCTAAGCCGCTTGTAGTGGTGGTCCGTGTGAACGGGGAGCCCCTACGGGCGCTGATAGACTCGGGCTCGCTTGGCAATTTGATCAGCACCACAGTTGCCGACCAGCTCCAGCTCACCCGCCTGACGCTGGAGGACCCAATCACGCTGCAGCTCGCTGTGCAGGGCTCAAAGTCGAAGATCAACCACTGCGTCACTGCCAGATTCCAGTATCAGGACATTGATACGCAGCACTCTTTCTACGTGGCAAACATTAGTGGCTACGACATGATCCTGGGAACCGGCTGGCTCTCCAAGCATCGGGTTAGTGTGGGTTTCAATCCCTCCCGAGTTTGCATTGGCAGCGCTGACGCTCTTCCCCTAGAAGGTGTAGCTACTTCGAAGATATTCACGAGCTCGACGAAACTGGAGGCAGTCTCAGTCGATGCCGTACGGGCAGAACTGCTAGAATATGCACGGGATGTATGTAAAACGGCGGCTGACACGCCTCTACCGCCTCTACAAGAAATTAATCATACCATTCCGCTAATCAACGAGAAGCTCATTCTCTCTTGGCGCCCCTCTCGATGCCCCGAGGCCTTGAGGGATCAGTGGGACGAAAAGCGTCGGACTTATCTGCGCACGGGCCGCTGGAAAGTTACAAACTCGGGCAACACTGTGCCCATGCTATTGATTCCCAAGGCCAAATCTAACCCTCCGCGACTCCGTGTGGTCATGGATCTTTGAGCGCGTAACAAGAACACGCACAAGATGTCCTCCCCTCTGCCTGACATGGAAGGTATACTGCGGCGGGTCGCTCGCTGTAAGTATCGGTCTATGATCGATGGGCAGGACGCCTACGAGCAGATCCGTATTGTGCCAGAGCACGTTAACAGGACTTGCATGACCACTCCAGATGGCAACATGGTCAGCCTGGTGCTGCAGCAGGGTGACTGCAACGCGCCGGCGACGTATCAGTCCCTCATGAATTACTTATTCTCTGACTTCATAGGCAGATTCATGGACGTCTATCTGGACGACATAATCATATATTCAAACTCCCTTGAGGACCATCGTGCGCACGTCAGAAAGATAATCGATGTTCTCAAGAGAGAGAAGCTGTATCTAGGCGAAAATAAGCTGCAGTTCCTGAAACCTGAGCTGAAAATACTTGGATGGGTGGTGGACGACCAGGGGATCCGGATGGATCCCGACAAAGTCGATTCTGTCCTGGCGTGGAAGACGCCCACGAACCGCGACCTGCTGCGTGGCTTCCTGGGCTCAGTGGGCTATCTCGCCGATGACCTGGACCGGGTACGAGTGCCTATGTCAGTCCTGCATGGCCTGACGGGTGACACTGTTGCGTTCCGGTGGAGTTTTACTCACCAACGCGCGTTTGAGGACATCAAGCGAGTGGTGGCCAAGCTCAGAGAGCACCGGCGTGTCCCGCTTGTATATGGGCCAAACCATGACCCCATTTTCCTGGTCACCGATGGCTGTATTACCGGTGTCGCGGGTGTTGTCTCACAAGGGCCTGACTGGAAGAGCGCCAGAGTAGCGGCTTTCTTTTCGGCCAAGCTGAATTCCGCTCAGCAGAACTACCCCGTTCACGAGATCGAGATGCTTGCTGGTGTCGAAGCAATGATGCGCCATCGGGACATTCTGCAAGGATGTCGTTTCCAGTGGATCACTGACCACAAGGGTCTAATCCACTTGCTGGAACAGCGGAACCTGTCTGGAAGACAGGCGCGTTGGATGGAAAAACTAGCCGAGTTTGACTTTCAGGTTGTGTACGTCCCCGGGAGCGAGAACGTACTGGCAGACTCGCTGTCTCGCCTTTACTCGAACGAAGCGCCAGGGACAGTGAGGTCCCGTAGCAAGTACACGTATCATGACGTAGTAAGCAATGACTCGCTGGAACTTAGCTCTATTTCTATGCCGGTGTTCGCTGGCCGCGAGGCGTTGGCCCTCTTGTCCGACCGTGTCCTGAGGTCACATGCACGCGTGGCACGAGAAAGGGCCCAGACAGAGAAGGCGCAAAAAGTGGTCCCCCCACAATCAGCTCGGGGTGGACCAGAGGGCGGGCCGCCCCCACAAAAGACTTCGCTGAGGGCGGAAGTTGTTAAAATCCCAGGGATTGCCGAGGCAATCGACAACGCAGACTCAGCGCTGTTGCCAGCAGTGGAAGCCACATGGGCAGGAATGGATATCTCCGCCCACATCAAGGGAAAGTATATTGACGACCCCTTCTTCCACGCGATACTGCAGGACCCAAGGGCCCATCGTAACTTTGAGACAACGGCAGATGGCCTGATGTACCTCAAGGATAATGATAATTCATTATTGTGCATACCCAGAGTCCTCTATGGAGACCGCAGCCTGAGGGAGATTATCATCTCAGAGGCCCACTCAATTCTTGCTCATCTGGGACCACGTAAAACAGCTGACTATCTACGTGAATACGTGTGGTGGAAGGACTTAGTCGAAGACACTAAGTCCTATTGTGAGACTTGCACCATATGCCGGCGCTCAAAGCCTGGCAACCAGAAACCGTATGGGAAGCTGCACCCGCTGGACGTCCCCCAGAGACCCTGGGAAGTAATCGGCATGGACTTCGTGGGGCCACTGCCACAGTCCAAGAATCGCGACGGGATTTTCGATTGCATAACCGTGGTGATCTGCCATCTCACCGGGATGGTGCACATCATCCCTAGCCGAATAAACTACACTGCCCGGCAGCTGGCCGAACTGATGTTTGAGGAGGTGTATAAGTTACATGGCCTCCCAAGATTCATTGTGAGCGATCGTGATGTCTTATTGACAAGCACTTTCTGGCAGCGGCTCAACGAGCTCATTGGCACAAAGCTCAGGATGTCGAGTGCCTATCATCCTGAAACAGACGGCGCCACAGAATGGGCTAATCGAACGATTACTCAGATGCTGCGGCAGTGCGTATCTAGTAACCAGAAGGACTGGGTTGCTAAGGTCCCCGCCATCGAATTCGCGTTGAATTCAGCTCGATCAGACACAACGGGGTATTCACCATTCTTTATGAACACGGGCACGATGCCCCGGTCCCTCCTGTGGGACTCAGATCGATCTGGTGAGTTCCCAGGAGTGGCGAACTTCATCTTGCAGCGCCGGCTTGCCGTCATGGCAGCGCACGACGCAATCATAGCGGCGAGAGTGAAGCAAACGCGCAACGCTAACCGAAAAAGGCAGGAAGCGCCTTTTACGGAAGGGGACCTGGTGTACCTCTCTTCGAAAAATATCCGTTTCAAAAAGGGCTTAGCCCGCAAGTTGATACCGAAATACATTGGCCCCTACCCAATTGTGAAGGATTTTGGGAACGGATCGTTCCAGCTCGAACTCGCACCCGAACTGAAACAACGAAACATTCATGATGTATTTCATGCATCTTTGCTACGGATCCATGTGGCAAACGACGATCGGCGCTTCCCCGGGAGGCTCGAGACCCAACTCGACGTTTCGGCCGACGCCTTGGAGCACGAGTGGGCGATTGATCGTGTGACAGGGCATTACGGTAAGAAAACCCGCGCGGTTTTCGAGGTGCTGTGGTCCACAGGGGACAAGACGTGGATGTCATACGACCAGATCCACAAGCTGCCGTGCTTTGCAGCGTACCTAGAGGCGCTCGGCGTGGAGAATATTAACGCCCTTGGGCCGGGATCGACTGATGCTCCGACGGGGGAGATTAGTCTTACCGTGGGAAGCATGGCGATTGGGTCGATCAGGGGCGATTGCCGTTCTGGGCACCATACGGGAGGGAAAAGGGGGGCCTTACTCGAGCTCTCTTTCCCCCCCCATCGTTCCAGCTCAATGTCTCAGCACATGAGCGACTGCCGCTCAAGCCACTTCGTCCTCGACCCCGAGCGAATCCCAGCGCCCTACTGGGAATTCAACCAGCGCCACGCTTCGGCCACCGGGTGGATCCGCCGCCAAGACTGCTGGACGTTTGTGTACGTCAATCTCCGAGGCGATGAAAAAGAGTACTCGGTGAATGCGTGGGCAATGCGCGCTTTCATTGAGCATAACATCACTATCCATGATCCCAACTCGAAGGTGCTCACTCGGCCCGTGGGCTACAACGACTTCGCCCAATCGTTCAACGACTTTACTGGGTCGGATCTCCGCTTCAGCTTCTTCGAGATCGGGACTGAACGCTGGAGCTTCAACACCCAGAACCCGATCCCCAACTTCACGGACTTCCAGGTCCGCTTGGAGGACCTCTCGACTCTTCCCCCTGGCTTGGTCCTGGTCCCTGTCGAGGAGCGCAAGTTCACGACGACCTCCGCCCTGGAAACGCTTATGCGGCAGAGCAAGGGCCGCAAGGACGGACAGAACCGACGCGATTCCAAGCATCGGGACGAGGAAACGCGCAGAGGTGGCGGCAACGGCGCCGCCCGCTTTGGCAACATCCATTCGGCTGCGGCCCGGGAGCGCTTCGCGGAATACGCGGTCCTCCAGACCAAACGGGACGAAGAGGATCGGGCGCGTGCGCGCCAGGAGCATCGGCTTCTGGAGGAACGCCAGCGCAAAGCGACGTCCCATGCGGGACCGTCGAATGGAGCGTCGGGCTCCGGAGACAACACTGGTGCCATGGAGGGCATGCAGGATTAGCCTGCCTCGAGAAGTCAGGCTAGAGGGCGTATGTAACGGTCAGACTCCGTATGTACCCTACAGTTCTTTTTTCCCGTCTGACTACGTATTTTTCCACTTCTCCTTCGTGTCTGTGTACTTATCCCTTGATCCCATCGTTACACAGCCACTCTGAATAGATGATACGGTGACGTGCCTGCGGACGGAATAGGCGCGAGCTAACACAAAATGGGGGTCAGCTACGACCTAAAACAGTGCAGGAATAAGTGTGATGTGCGAGGAGGTCCACAAGATTCAGTGCCGTGGCTGGCAGTAAGAAATGACGATTGGGGACGTAGGGCGAAGTCGAGGGCGGCGTAGGACGGATGAGACGAAGCAGAGGGTCGAAATACCCAAGTAGAAACGAGCTGAAGACGAGAACTGAACTCAAGACGATGAGGAGAATAAATCTGTTTTTCTTTTGTCCAACTACAAGCTTTTGTATGTGAGACAATGAAATAATCATCAGAGTGGGTGAAATATCGACAGGATGGAGCAAGGGACGGTGAACAGAGGAACCAGGGAAGTGAGAGGGGAAAAACAGGTACAAGTGGATGGTGCACTCTAGGCAGACTGGTATGAGACCCTAACAGGGTGGTCAAATGGGTCATTTTTGGTACCCGAGTAGGGTCAAATACCACTATGTCGGGCAGCAACCAACTTCCATGTGGGTATGGGTAACCCAGGGTAAAAACGTTGGTCAGGACCAAACAAAGAGCAGGTGGTGCCTACCACACGGACGGAATCAGTGGTTCCAACCAGGGTGTGGAATGTGGTATTTGCCGCCCCGGTACCGTGCAGATATTGAAACTGAATTTTTGCGCAATCAGGGCGGTATTGCAGATAGGACGGGTATGGGCACAGGCTCGAGCGTCGGAGCACTCTGACAACTCTTGCAAGCACCCTGGAGGCCGGGCTGCGGCCATAGGAGCCCCCAGTGCTGTCTGCCGGCCATATGTCGGATTTTCTGCGATCAGGCCGGTATTGCAGATAGGACGGGTATGGGCACAGGCTCGAGCGTCACAGCACTCTGACAACTGTTATGAGCACCCTGGAGGCCTGGCTGAGGCCATAGGAGCCCCCAGTGCTGTCTGCCGGCCATATGTCGGATTTTCTGCGATCAGGCCGGTATTGCAGATAGGACGGGTATGGGCACAGGCTCGAGCGTCACAGCACTCTGACAACTGTTATGAGCACCCTGGAGGCCTGGCTGAGGCCATAGGAGCCCCCAGTGCTGTCCGCAGGCCATATGTCGGATTTTCTGCGATCAGGGCGGTATTGCAGATAGGACGGGTATGGGCACAGGCTCGAGCGTCACAGCACTCTGACAACTCTTGCAAGCACCCTGGAGGCCGGGCTGCGGCCATAGGAGCCCCCAGTGCTGTCTGCCGGCCATATGTCGGATTTTCTGCGATCAGGGCGGTATTGCAGATAGGACGGGTATGGGCACAGGCTCGAGCGTCACAGCACTCTGACAACTCTTGCAAGCACCCTGGAGGCCGGGCTGCGGCCATAGGAGCCCCCAGTGCTGTCCGCAGGCCAAATGTCGGATTTTCTGCGATCAGGGCGGTATTGCAGATAGGACGGGTATGGGCACAGGCTCGAGCGTCACAGCACTCTGACAACTGTTATGAGCACCCTGGAGGCCTGGCTGAGGCCATAGGAGCCCCCAGTGCTGTCTGCCGGCCATATGTCGGATTTTCTGCGATCAGGGCGGTATTGCAGATAGGACGGGTATGGGCACAGGCTCGAGCGTCACAGCACTCTGACAACTCTTGCAAGCACCCTGGAGGCCGGGCTGCGGCCATAGGAGCCCCCAGTGCTGTCTGCCGGCCATATGTCGGATTTTCTGCGATCAGGGCGGTATTGCAGATAGGACGGGTATGGGCACAGGCTCGAGCGTCACAGCACTCTGACAACTCTTGCAAGCACCCTGGAGGCCGGGCTGCGGCCATAGGAGCCCCCAGTGCTGTCCGCAGGCCAAATGTCGGATTTTCTGCGGTCAGGGCGGTATTGCAGATAGGACGGGTATGGGCACAGGCTCGAGCGTCACAGCACTCTGACAACTGTGAGGCCATAAGAGCCCCCAGTGCTGTCTTCAGGCCATATGTCGGATTTTCTGCGATCAGGGCGGTATTGCAGATATGAACTTATCAACCTTCACACAGGTCTTGTTCTGCTATGATCTGGTTCCTGCTCCCCCTGACTTCATTCACTCTCCCCAGCTGTGGATGTTTCCATCAATTCTCTATGGTTCCCTATGTGAACAGCTATACTGCTTTTACCGTACTGGCCGCCACCATACAGTCCTCTAGATGGTTGCAGCCACTCCACGATCGATATGTGGTTCCAGCCACTTCAGCCCTCCTCCAGTGGCTGCAGCCAACATGCGGTACCAGCCACTTCGTTCCTTCTTCAGTGGCTGCAGCCAACATGTGGTACCAGCCACTTCGTTCCTTCTTCAGTGGCTGCAGCCAATATGTGGTACCAGCCACTTCGTTCCATCCTCAGTGGCTGCAGCCAACATGTGGTACAAGCCAATTCCCTCTTACCCACTGGTTGCAGCCTTTCATCTGGTTGTGGCCACCGTTCTTCATTCAACTGGACAGCGACCACACCCTCCCCGACGGTATTGGTCGCGGCCATTCACTCACTCAACTGGACAGCGACCACACCCTCCCCGACGGTGTTGGTCGCGACCACTCAAATCACTCTTCGTGGTCGCGGCCATTCACTCACTCAAAGGATGGCACAGCGACGATGTCGATTGCGGACAGTGTACAGACCTGACGTGGCAGCAACCGTCCCCCTTTCTACCAGGGTCGTCGCAATGCAGGCACTTGAAAGCAATTCTCACCCGAGGCCATTCTGATCAAACCCAGACTGCTCCAAACTAGCACGTACATCATAATTATGCTCTATGCAACTTTTCACTATCCACTCAAGCTACGGTGAGATAACTTTGCAATGAACAGGGCACCAACCTTCTCATCCCACGGGCACTTTTCACTCTGTTTCTAGATCATGCTTAGCGAGGCGATTCGCAACGCTCAGTACAACTCACTTTTCACACGCCCTGTGAGGTCTGGGGGATCTGAGGGCAGTCGCTATCCAGGAATATCACACGGTGGATCGATGAACGCTTTGCGGATATGGACCCACCCATGAATTGACTCCGCGAGAGTCCTAGCCCCAGTCTTGTGCTGACCGCAGTGGGTAATCAGTCGTCGAGGGACGTTCGGCGGGATTCTATACAACGTCGGGACTATGACACCCATGAGCATACACGAAAGTTGCAAGCACAAACGCGGCGACTTACCGCAGTGTAGGGGCAATCAGGGATCGTGCTGGAGAAAAAAACCACGATCAACCTGCTCCGCCGCAGCTCATGCGCCCGGAAACACCACCTGCTCTTTATCCCACCGGGACATATCTGTGGGATCTAGCCTTAGCGGAAGCGCTGGGAAGAATGGAATTCGGCTCGGCGTCGTCAGAGGGTTCGCTGGAAAAGGTGATGAGATTCATGTATTCGAGTGCGGGATACTGCGGCTCAAGAGATTTTTGTGCCAAACGCTGCGGGTCGGGGGATCGTCGTGCCAGACGCTCAGCAAGCCTTGCGTGAACCATGCGATACGACGAGAGTTTTTTCGGGGAACGAGTGCTGACTACGGGCACATTGAACATGGGCGAGTAAGGCGGCGTCGAAGTCACAGACATACGGATGGATTCTGAGTGCGAGGAAGCGGCCAGTCTGGAGGCGATCGGGGATCGGGACTGTGCGTGCTGGAGTCTACCGCCTGAAGCGGATCCACATGCTGCGCTTTCGGTTTCCATGTTCCGAGTTTGATAGGATGAGGCGATGGCGGAGGTGGACCGGGAGGTGATTTCAGAGACGCGTGGTGGGACGTATTGCGCGTAATCTTCTGCGGAGACGGCGGCCGTCCATCCTGCGTTTAATCGGTATCGCCCTCGCTTGTGGGCTCAGCATAGGCCACGTTTCTCCCCATGTTGATCTCGATAGGCAACGGAAAGGCGGGGGGGAGAAGTACCACGTTTGCTTGGAGTAGCATGGGAGAATTTAAAAAGCTGTGCCCCGATGCGGGACCGCATAATACTGATGAGGGATGGGAGGAGTCATGGCTGTGTCTTGATTTTCAAGTGATTGGAGATCAGAAGTGTGGATCGAGAAGCATTTTACTGCGTGTGGGGACGCCCAGAGTATGTAAAACAAGAGTATTTAGTAGTGCGTACAGCATTCATACAAGAATCGGCGGTCGCTTGACAGCGGTTGTGGCCATTTCGTAGGAGCGCCTAGTAGTGACCAGCCCATGATAGCGGCCTACCTACAGATCCCTAATTGACATGTGCTTGCTCAAGTACACGAGCACGGCAGGATGTGCATGGCTCCCCAGTCGAATTACCCGGCACAGTATCCAAGATACACCGTAGTGGCGGATCAGATTCAAGACGAAGTCCCTCGACTTCACAGACTGGGAAGAAGAAGGACCTCGAGATCTGGCCCCAAAACTTCAGCGACATCCGCAATAGATCGCGGCGATGATACTGGGGTTTTGGTTGAACGAACACCCTCGGTATCCTCCTCGGGGTCCCCGGATGAAACTTGTATATGACAATCACTGAGGCAATCATGAGTCGATATTCACCTCGAGGACAGTAACGTACCCTGATGCAACTCGCAGATAGTCTCCGTGTAACTACAGACGACTTCGCCCGGTGGACAGGTGCAATTCTGGAACGCATAAAAGTCTGAATGAGTGATCATCTTAGTGAAGACTGTGAAGTGTGCTTACAGGTTTCTCAATGACTCCCTCTGTCTGTTCTAGGTCTGAATCCGGTTCCGGCTCGTCTTGTTCCGTCACTCCTTCTACGGAATCCGTCTCCTCCTCTCCTTCGTCTGAACTACAGGAATCGTCCTTTTCTTCAGACTTGCGACACAACGAAAGCTTGGGTTCTGATTTGTA